TCTCCCTCGGGGGGAGGGGGGTGAAAACGATTCTGGGCAGGAAATAATTGAGAACCACTATGTTAAACTGAGAAGAGGCAGCGTAATTCAGCGCTAAGATGTGAGCATATTCAGCTCATCGGTGCTAGCTTGGTAACAAATCTTAGACAAGCTTGCTTCTGTCTTCATCCCTGATGTTAAAATTCCTCCAAACTCAGTGATTGTTGACCTACTTAAATAAACTTCTCCGGAGCGAAAAACAACAGCGTTGTCGACAGTGTTTTAGTGCTGTTGCTTTCGTTTACCGCGAGACCATGTCCTGGACTATCTCAGCTCTGTTTAATTTATTACATGTGCTTTTCTTTATTTTCCAAATGCAGAACACTGATGAAAGCCGGCCCTGATCTTTATTGCTTTTTCATTTTTTATTGCTTGCTTTATTGCCCCCCTGGACACCACAGCACCACTTAACCTCCACCGATTCTGCCGGACGTATTTATACATTTTCACTCCTTCATAAAAAAGCCGTGCAAACTGTGTCACAGACGAAGTGACGAACATGTGTGCAGTGGATCGCACAAACTCAAAAGCACTCTCACTCGAGGTGGGAGGCCGCGGAACGATGCGTCGACACACCGAGCGTTTATGCCGCGCATGTGAAATATTCAGCAATATGGATGGGATGCCGTCGCACTCTGCGTACATTCGAAGCTTATGAAAATTTAATGTGCGACTGACAACGGCACACTGAGTCGTTTCTTCACTTCTGTCTCTCTTTCTCGCTCTCCCTCTCTTTGCAGGGAAACCAGATTCTGAGTGGTCTCTCTCTGGACGAGTACAAAGCCACTCTGAAGATGATCGAGAGGGCTATTCTGGCAACAGACTTGGCCCTGTACATGAAGTAGGTACCAAACGTCAAACCCAGATGGAAGCCGTGGTGTGAAGAAGGCTGAAGATAACAGGGTTAGAGTAGTAAAAGGAAAGGAAAAGAATGTTTAATCAGGGCATCAGAGGACACGGTGGAGGAAAAGAAGGGTCAGGGTGGTGTGTTTTGAAATATAATTTAATTTTTTTAATTATAATAATAAATAAATAGATGATAAGTTGAACTTTATTGCTCCCACATTTGAGAAAATTCTTGCATTAACAGCAGATCTGCTGCAACAGGCTGCCCTTTGGAGGCGCCAAATATACGGTTCCTCTGGGAATTGAACCCTGGACCCACTGGGTCTAAAGTTGAGTTAGATATGATCGGTCCCTATCTTGCAGAAACATTTGTTGACGCTCTACAAGAAGCATGTAATTATGCGGTTCCGTAACGTAGCAGTTAGCACACCTGCCTTGCAAGTGTGAGAGTCCAGGGTTCGATTCCCAGAGGAACCACATGCTTGGCCTCTAGTTGCTGCAGATCTGCTGTTAATGCAACAATTTGCCCTGGTTCAGTCGATGAAGTTCTTCAAATTAAAAAATGTGTTTACATGTTTGTTATTTTCACACTGACAGCCGCTAGAGGGCACTCTAGGCTTGTGTACCAGTATCTGCTACTCCTGTACCAATGTAAATTTACGCATTTGTTATTTTCACACCGACAGCCGCTAGAGGGCACTGGTACAACTTATACTCTGGAGCTACTTATAGTCAGAAAAAAAAAAACGGTATCCATTTATTAATTGATTTTGGATATATTGTTGTTTGTATTTGTATGTATTTTCAGGAGGCGAGGGGAGTTCTTTGAACTAACCAAAAACAGCCAGTTTGTTTGGGAAGATGAACATCACAGAGATTTACTGAGGTCAGTACAAAATCCTTGGGCACGCAAACAAATATATAAATATATGTTGTCCCACAAGCCTTTATTGCTAACAAGCAGTTCTATATTATTAGAAGTAGCAAGAATTTGTCCTAAGTTTAAAAAAAAAAAACAACGTTTAAAATTCCCTCAAGTCTCAATCAATAAACACAAGGTATTGTACTAAATGTCCTCACGTAATTCTCAGTTCTAAGTCTATGAAAATCAACATGTGTAACTTTGTCTCCCCCGTCAGGTCAATGCTGATGACTGCATGTGATATTTCAGCCATAACCAAACCATGGCCTGTTCAAAAGAGGGTAAGGGCAGTGCATTATATTCTTTTATCTATTTTAAAGTCTTTATTTGTGTGTGCGTGCGTGAACAACCTTTAATTGAATAGTCGTGTTTTAAAGCCTTCCAAATAACAGATAAAGTACTCTTCTAATGCAATACTCCTAAATATCCTAAAACATAAAGCATTTCTATTGTGGCAAAAAAAAAAAAAAAAAAAATTATACAATTTAATTATCATGCAATTATCATGTGTGTCCCATGGCCCAGTATCACTCACACCAACTGATTGAAGCGCTGGTTAATGTCCTCGGTTACACCTGTGCACTTCCTGTCGTGAATTAGATTTGGTTTCTTTTGTCTGCCAGGAGCGGCACAGTTTCAGGCTCCACACACGCGAACAGCCTCGTCTCTGTTGTTTCATCCCCGTGGCGACCTTCAGCGGTCTGCCTCTCATTAGGAGCCATGGGCTCAGTGAAGTGCTGTTGTGTTTGCGTTTTCCCTCATTAATGGACGCAGCTGTGTCCTCAGATATCACACACTCACACATACGCTAATGTATCCTCTTAATCCATTCCAGGACCGAGCTCGTAACTCGAGGTGGTCGTATCGCAAATCATTTTTTTCCCCATAAGAAATAACAGAACCCCCCCCCTAAGGGTGGCAGAGTTATTGCATGTGGGTTAATTAGTTAGCAGGAGTAGACACAGAAACATTAACCTGGCAGTATTTTTTTTTTTCATTTTTTCATTCAGATTGCGGAGCTGGTGGCCACTGAGTTCTTTGAGCAAGGGGACAAGGAGAGGCAAGAGCTAAACATTGAACCCATTGTAAGTAATACCAGGGTAACCGTGCTGATTTTGTACGATGGAAAATACCTGTTGAGAGGTCTAAGATGCTGAGGTGTTCCCCTAGGATGCATTCTTGGGCCTTTAATGTTTTTGTTTGTTTAATCTACTGTATTCCACTGCTAATGTAGCTCTCAATGTAAAATTGTTATTTTAAAATACCAAACACATTTCTCACCAATCTTGCGGGCCAATATTTGCACCAATATTTTAAATATTTATTACACATAATGAGTCAACATCAATTTGGAAAAATATGGTTTACCAAAAGTAGTTTTTATTCTGAATTAACTAGTGAACATCTCCCTTTGGGATTACTTGGATCTTTGTCAAAATTATATGTTTCATGTTTTTATTGAACACAACACGTAAACATTCATTGTGCAGGGTGGAAAAAAAATATCACAATGAATCTCACCCCTAATGTGAGGCAAAGAGCTAGTTTTACATGGAGTTCGTGTGAATGAACGTGGAAGGCACAGCTCAGTGTATCTGCACTCGACAGTACAAGGCTAAGGTGGAGTAGTCGAGTGTAGATACACACTTACAGCACAGGGTACAAGTGTGTGAATGGTTCAATATAGATACAGTACATGTTGCAGCCTTTAATATGTGTGTGTATATATGAATATATATATAAATGTCAATATAGATAGATAGATATTGGTTTGTTGTGTGTTCAGTTTTGATGTAGGTGTTCATGTATTTCCCCTAACTATAGGACCTGATGAATCGGGAGAAGAGAGATAAGATTCCTAGCATGCAGGTGTCATTCATTGATGCGATTTGCACTCAGTTATATGAGGTAATTTCACCAACACACCATCTCTTATCCTACTTTAATAAAAATATCAGTCCAAGTCTGAATAAATAAAAAGTTGTAATCACCAACAGTTTTTTAAATTAAATGTCTTTGTCACCATTACAGACTTTGGCCGGCATGTCGGAGCATTGCTGCCCCCTGCTGGAGGGATGTCAGAGAAACCGGCAGCAATGGAAACATTTGGCTGAGGAGTGTGAGAAGGGATTGGTCAACGGCTTGGCGGGATTACGGGGGATTCTCCTTATTTAAACTTGTTTCACAAAGTTTAATGACATTATTACACCCTTTACATTAAATTATCCACCACAGCGAAGGTGATAGAAGGGTAAAAAAAAAAACTACCCAATGCACCAGGCTGTATCCTCAGGGATCCAAAATCCCAAACCCCCGTTTCGTCTGTTGTGGTTTGTGGTTTTCTTCTAGTTGACGTTTCTACTGCTCCATGTTCTGTGAACAGGCTAATGCTAACTGTACAGGTCAGATTGTTCTCTGCCACAGCTGTGCTTAAAAGCAAAATGCTAATGTAAGCACAGTGGACAACAGTGCTTACAGCGCTAATTTAACGCACAAGACTGGAGTGGCCTAGATTTTGGAGACATTATTCAACTTTTCAGAAGTTAAGTCAGCACCGCTGCTGGACTGCACCCATGTTTGTTAAAACTCCTACATCTGCCTTAAAATGACCCTGACGACAGAGCTACAACAATTAGCTTTAGCATTAGCTATCGTTTCCCCTGTTGAGAAAATTCTATTGAAAAGCAGGTGGCGTTAGCATTTAGGTGTTCAATTTATCGCCACCAATCAATCGGAAGGGTGTAAGCAATATCGTCAAGCTTTGTGACATCACTTCCTGTCATCACTGTTCATTTATTGCAGTAACTCACCAGAGACAATAACAGTCGGCACTAAGCTATATTTATTAAAATAGCCTTCTTATTTTTTTTTTGCACAGAGTGGCTTTTATCTTGAAGTCTTAAAGACACACACGTACACACAAAACACACATACACACACAGTCAGAGCTTTTGTCAAGGAAGGATCTGGAAAATTGTCCTAAAATTAAACACGGGGTCCGGGTCAGGAGCAGATAGATGGTGCGGTTGTGTGAATAAAGTAAATGACATGTTAAAGTCATGCATAAAGGCTAAAATGCTGAAATGCTTTTATCATTTTCTACACCATCTATTGGGGAAACGTGGGTATTGCAGGGAAAAGGCAAAAGCATAATGATAATATAAATAGATTATATAATTAGGAAAAGTTTGGCGGGCCGGATTAAAAAGCTGAAGGGGCTGCATCCAGTCCTCGGGCCTTAGTTTGCCCATGCCTGGTATAGCACAAGGTTAGCACAGAGGGTTCGAGTCCCAGAGGTAACACCTCTAACACTTCCCCCACTTCTACTTCGCTTTGGATAAAAGTATCTGCTAAATGCAAAAATATAGAAAACAAATGTTTCTTTTCTACATTGTTTTAGACAGGGGAAACAAACTCCTCGCACACGGACCAAAGGGTCCTGGACCCAGATACCTTTTCTGGCCCTTGATGTCATCTCCATTGAGATGACAATGGCCCCCAGCACATTTGACTATGAGACCGCTGGTTTGGGACAGTTGAGTATGTCCCCTTTACATCCAGACTTTTCAGCATCCTTCCTTAACTCAGTTCAGCTCCGACTGTTTCTGACAGGTGTTGGGTTTCAGTCACACAGTTCATGGTGGGATTCAGATCTGCGATGGGGGGGAGGAGGAGGGGGTTGTCACCTTTTGCAGTGATTTAAAGATGTTGTACCTTTTTTCTTGACACAGTGGCACAATAGTCAAATGTACTTGGTAAATACGTATGTCACAGCAGACACACCGTAACAAGGGTTTGAATCTTTTGTACCATGTTTTTCACTCGCTGTCTTAACTTTTGCATATTTATTTTATGTTTTATATATTTATTAGAGTGTCTATATTGTAAGGTCATCCTCTTGTGGAGAGCACACGATTCTTACTGTAGAAAAAGTAGTTTTCATACTAAACAGCAGAGAGAAAAAAAACAAAATCCCACCTGTGCTTTTTTAACAATCTTTCTTAAAAGCAACTGTTTTAAAACATTTATATATTGTAATTTATTAACTTTTTTTTTTCAAATGTAAAATATCCAAAGACTAGGTCTGTGGTTGTAAAGGGAAATGGGTCTGGATTTTTCCACTGCCTTGTTTTATTGACATAGGACCAATTCACCAGTAAACATAATATTAATGATTATATATATATGTATATATACATATACATATATATATATATATATACATATATATATTCCATCTGTCCATGTCTCTAAATACATTAATGCCGTTTTCCCTGTATGAAGCTGCTTTGTACATCCCTATTTTTTTTATAAGCAAAAGTGCGGAAACTGCATTGGGATTTTTATTGTTTAACCAAAATAGTGAACATTGACCAAATTTTTTTGTCATTTTTAGAATTTCCAATTACTTTCAATAAGACTTGCCGATTGACAAAAATACATTGATATTTAAACCCCTTTTAAGTGACTTAAGTGATTTTACCTCGAGTCAAAATGGAAGCAATTTGAATGAAAAATGTTTAAGAGAAATGTCGGATGGACAAATAGACATTCACACAGTAAAGTGATGTAGAAATATCTGCTGTGAAACGGTTGCAGCTACACTCGTTTAATACTAGCTTTCAGTATATATCGCCATCTGTCAATGTTTTTGCAGGAACGAATTTAACATTCACCCTCAAACCTCAAAAATGGGTTTCTTTAGGTAGAGTCCTTCAAAGGGAAGACAAACAGGTTATAGAAGTCATAGCACCATCTATTAGGTTCTAGGATACTGTTTAATATTGCAGAGCATTTGCAATGACATTTTGAGCACTTTAAGAGGTGAAAAAGCACAATATCCCGCTAAGAGCACTCTTACCTGTGACCTTTATCAATTGCAGCATGTATTGAAAACTGACAAATTTCTCCTAAACATTAAAGAAAAACTACTGAAAATAAAATTAAATATGGCTGTTCTGTGCAATAATGCGGGCTGGCTGCCACTGAATAACACTTTTTATGTAACCTGCATTTAGAAATTAAAATATCGCAACGCCAAACCTTTCACAGAACAGAAATTGGACTGACGAATAATTGGGAAATGTTGGATATTAAGTAAAGTGACGGATTAACAAAAACTTGTACGATACATTATGATAAAAATAAGATTCATCATAACTTGGGTTTCTTTCATTGATTTACACTGCCCCCACCTGGTCAAGAATATAACGACACAAAAACACGTTTTTATTGAGAAAAATTATATTTATTTATTTTACCATCTTCTAAAAGACAAACATACACACTACGAGCTTCTAAAAAGAGCTTCACAAACAAGAACAAAGATGACATAGTTAAAGAAAACAGAAAATTCATTGCTTCGGATAAATATTTACAACGGCATGGACCCAGACTTGTGTCCATGTGTGCACAAACACACAAATGGGAGGAAGGCAGAAGAGGAGAGGTCACATACACGGACAGTGAAGTAGGACAGGACACAGTAAAATGTACTAATGTCCACAGAGGACAGTGGTTGGATGTGGGGGTCACAACCAGGGAGAATGTTTAAGCAGAGTTGTTTCTCTTATACGCCACACTGCTGTTCACCTTGTGGATGGTGGTGGTGAAGGATCGCAGACGAACTTCCTCCGATTGGTCAATCATCTGAGGGCCTGACTCCTCCCACTTTTCTGGAACAATCTGGTCTTTGTCGGTGTATACCAGGAGGTCAAATGCACCTGAAGGATGAGAAGATCTTATCTGTTCTTTATTTTATTTCTATGCCCTGTTTTAAATTATTATCTGTTTTATTATTTGATGTAAAGTGTCCTTGAGTGTCCTGAAAGGCGCTTTTTAAATAAAATGTATTATTATTATTATTATAAGAGTTAGCTTCACAGATGTTCATACACCTACTTCAAATGTATTTATATTTCAAATTTAAAGATTGAGGACACAGGCTGAGACAAAGACAAGTGAGAGCCGGTTGATAGAAGAGTACGTTGTTACTTACATGGAGTGTCCAGTAGGGGCAGGAACGTGACCGTGGCTGTTACCTGCCTGAGTACTGAGCGTATCTCGTCTTGTATGGTCTTGATGGATTTCTCTCTGGGAGTACTGTGGTACACAAAACACTATCAATATACAAAAACTATATACACAGAGGCAGCAGCTAACATCAATTATTATACAATTATGTACATCATTGATTCATCGGATTTAATCACTTAAAATGCACCAAATAAATCCTGTGACCAACCAATAATACGCAAATGGCTCGATGCTGCCACCTACTGGTATGAACCTGAACTAAGTTTATACCAGTACTTTAAAAAACACAAAAATTCAATGTAGTTTTTTTTTAATGTCACTGTCAATCGTAAATTAATTAGAAAAAACAGTGTTTCGCTAATGGAGAATGAAGTAGCTGAAACTGACCTGCTCTCCTTTGCCGACTTGTCGCACTCGATGTCAAACTGCCATCTCTCCAGCACCTCATTGGTTTCCAAGCCTGTAATGACCAGAACCAGCTTTTGCACTGTGCACTCAAACAGCCACTCTGTGGGGGAGAGAAAGAAAGAGAACTGGTACTTTTGCTTGACCCTCACGTGGAATTTTAACTCAGCTCCCTCTGTAAAGGCCACTGAGATTAGTCTTGTGAGATCACCTTTGAGTTGAGACACCACGTTGGTCAGGTAGTTCTTCAGTTTGGGGTCAGTGGTGAACTGAAGGCTCATGTCATAGTGGGAGATTATGCTGAAGGTCTCTGGAGGGTAGATGCCACGCTGGAACAGGATGCTGTTGATGCCGAACGCTGCAGAGGACAAAGGGAGTGGGATGTTGAAATTGTGGTACGTAAAGCTCCCCTAGTGCCCTTAGTTATTATTTTTCTAAAATATTGTTTCTTTAGCTTTTTGTAGGATTTAATTATGGCAAGACACATAAGAACGACGTAGAGAGTGACGTAACTGTGACATGTTTGCTTTTTCAACGCATAAGGACGACGTAGAGAGTGACGTAACTGTAAGTGACATGTTTGCTTTTTCAACGCATAACATTCATTAGTTTGAATATAAACTGCCTATATACAACACATTACAAGTCATTGTTACAACAAATATAACCTCAACGTGTTTCTTGACGGAACCTGGTCCTGCTACATCTCCCTTATGTCGGCTGGCGTACGACACCATGAACAAGCTCTCAACACCTGGCATTAAAAGGTAAGGCATGATAAAGAACTTTGGCTCATCGTTCTTTGAAATGCATATCAGTATTTACAACTTCTTTTGTTATTTTTGACAAACTGCGTCTCCGTTGCAGCACAAGCTCCAGTACATAGCATTAGCCCATATTAGCATGCCAGCGTGTTCAGTCTCACTGAGGGCTAAAACTATTTAAGAAAAACAACCAAACTTATCTGAATACTCACAGAAAAACTCAGCAACCAGCTCGGCGCTGCCTTTCAGGGTGATGGTTTTCATCGTGCTCGTCATTTTCGCAGCACTTTTGATGCAGCACTACAAATATTTTACCTTTGTTTTCGTTCTTTTCACTCTCAACGATAACCGCCGTCCAGTTTGAATTTTCAGATGCTGCGCATGCGCGAATGTATTGGCACGTGATGATGACGTTTATAAATGCGCCGAGCTATTTGTGACACAAGATGGCGTTAGATTTCAAACAAGACAACGTCACATCGTTTGCAATTAAAGTAAAAACTATTTGAATATCACAATTTAAAAGTTTCTTCGAGTTCTTCTACCTACAACCACTAAATGAGTGAGTCTCTTTCATTTTTATTCAATGTACGAAATGTCGCTATTACGTGCATACAAAACAAAAAAAACTTTAATAAAAGAGAACTTAACAAATGCGAATAAATAAATAAATAAATAGATAATAGAAATTACTTTTACAATGTCTATTTTTATTTTGTAATTTTTTAAATTTTTTTTTTATTTTATGGTATGGAGTGTGATCAGCAGTAATTTTTTTTTAAAAAAATGTTATTTTATGGTATGGAGTGTGATCAGCATATTAATGTACAACAAAGCAACCTTACCAATGGGTACCCACAGTTTGCTTTAGAAATGTTTAGATTTACTCAAACAGACATAAATCATAAATGAGAGTCATTTGAGAATAGCTGTGACAGTTTAATTGAAATATTGTTTTACAATATTGCATTTATTATCATTTACAATTTCATGAATACAGTTGAGACACATTTATATTTTATACATGGTCCACGAGGTGCACATGTTGTTTTTGTTTTGTGATGTTAACAATATAGTTGATTGACTAACTCAAAAATTGTAAATTGCAAAAGCATCTACTAAATGTATTGTAATGTAATGTGTGTGTTTGTAGCTTGTCAGACATTTGGGAAATATGTCTATTCAAACTGTTTATTTAATTTTTTGTCACTTGCGTGGGATCAGTGAGTGTAAAATAACTCTTTGAAAAAATCAGTATGAAGCCTGGCCAGCATTTTACTAGACTGTGTCGTTAGCATTTTGCTTTACTTTAGAGCAGTGATTATCAACTGGTATCCTACGTGCCAAACCATCCAATCTAACTCGCGACTAGATTCCAAAGTTGTCAGGATCAAATGGACGATATGTATTGTGTGATCCCCACTATTAAAGACTAAAATTGTCTTCAGTTTTTTAATAAAATAAATATATATAAGCAATAAACATCTAAAGATAATGTTAGAAAAACCAAACACCATTTCCTTGTTATTGCCTTCTTAGTCGCCGCTAGCAGTATTTTCACCATATTTTCACCACGAAAATCAGTATTTGCACCCATTCCCAATACACATGAGTGTGTATTGGGAATGGGTGCGATACAGTGTGATCTGTATTTTACTATCTCTAGCATTTGTTGCGCGGATCATCTTTCCATATCTTTTTGAATCTCCCGATTTAGCCCCCCGATAATTAGTTTCGTACAGTTTTGTTAAGCTTCCAGTAGTAGATACTACTCACTATTTTATTGATTTTGTATGCCACCTAAATGTATATGCTTGTTAAATAGTCTGTGTTGGAATATATAGTTTATTGAAATTAACTGTGTGTCACACTGAGTTTATAGTCTGACAAGTGATAATATGAATCCAATGTGAAGAAGACAGATATTTGGTGGTTTCAGACGGATCAAAACATTCACGAAAAGCCCAATTGTATTTTTCTATATCTTTTATATCTATACCTTTAATGTCTATGTCCTCTCGTATTGCTTGAGCTGAGGGCTTGATGAAAAAAACAAAAAGAGTCGGAGACTCGCAACACCCCCGTCTGGGGAATCTTGAACGAGTTCATAAAGTTGCTGTTTATTTTCATTCTGGCCTTTGGTTCTTGATAAAGTGTTTTAATTATGTTGATTGAGTCTCTTTTTTTTAATGTTGGACTCACAATTCATCTGTCTATAAATTAGAGATTTCTTTTTTTCTTCTTCTTCTTCTTCTTTGAGTAAAACAAAAGTTCATATCTTCCACTTTTATTTCTGCTATCTACCAAGTCATTCTCAAAAGAGAAAATACAACTAGAGAGCAGCATCCATGCAAAAGCCTTGTCTTCATAGTCTCTTTAAACTGACCATGGTTATAATTTAGTTTGAGTATATTGGTTATTCTTAAGTTATTTGTGTATACTGTACTCTACGTTCTGCTGAACAAACCATGCTGCCCCTGCAGGGTAAACACGGCACAGTGAAGTCATCACACTGAGCATATTTCACAGCCTGATTCTTACACACCATAGGAATCTTGCCATGTGTCACCCGCCTCTCAGTATGTCACACTAGAAGAAACCCCCTCTGAACCCCCGTCCCGATTCCCGCGTTCCCTCCCACAGGGATAAGTAGAGGGCACAGAGCGGAGTTATGTTCTGCAGACGGCACATCAACTACGTGTCTGTTGCATCAGCAGGTTACCTGGACACAGTACAGTAACATAACAAGGCCGGTGGTGCTGGGCAACACGCCTCTTCTCAAAACACAAACATATTTTACAGTGAAACTGATTTAAGAAGGGATAGAAATCTGCCAGAGTGGGCGGAGAGCGGCGCTGTTTCGAGCACGATCAGACTGCATTCAGAATGGGGCATAGATGTGAGGAGTGAAAAAACATACAACATGGGTCACAGATCGTAACACAGCGGCACTTTTAAATTCAGCAGTCACAAAACCACGTTTGTGATCATTTTCTATTGGGTTTTTGAATCTGTTTTGTGTGGGGGTACTGATGGCATTTGATCAGATTGTCATGAAACTTCAGTTAGTTTGGACTTGTGTAGAGAAACGTCTCTCCCACTCACCTTTGCTGTTACTCACACGGAGCCATAGGCTGTTGCTTTTCTCGGTAGAATTCAGGTTGACCCTCAATTTAAAGGTTGCCCATTGTAATGTTTGGTTGGGGTTTTTTCTAGAAGTAGTGGATATGATTGTAATGTGATTGGGGTTTTTTCTAGAAGTAGTGGATATATGGTAGTTACAGTCCTAAATGGGACTGTGGATGTCCATGCATAAAAATTGTCAGATGTCTATTGAATCTAAAAAAATACCATACAATTTTGAGTTATGGGAATATTTTAAATGTTATGTTTTTCTCATTTGTCCTGCTTCATGCATGGATTTTCAAACCTCCACAAAGAGTCACGCACGCTTTCCGATCCAGCCCTGCTAGCTGTTTTGAACGCCACATGTTACAACACATGGACCAAAATGTGTCACGTAAATGCCTAATATAAGTAAACGGGTACATCCAGTTCAAACATCACTGCCAACATACTCTGATGCGTACCTTACTTTTTGCACGGCTGTTAAGCAGTATGTCCACTTGGGGGCAGTGCTAATTTCCAGGCTGATGTCAGTTTCTAAGAACAATCACAAACCTGGTGATGGTGGAGAGGTTGTGATAATGTTCCTCCTCGAGCAATGGCGACCCAACGATATTTAATAATTTCTATCTCTACTTAGTCTTTCTATATTTACAACCTAGTAAATACAAATACTAGATACGAGCTACCCGAAGTACGAGTTTTCCAAGTTACGAGTAAGCAACTTTTGCAAGAAAACATCGATGTACGAGTGCTCAAACGAGCTCCATTTTTTCACTCGACTTAGTTATTTTCACCTCCCTTTATTTCTCTCTTTCCCATGGTCTCTTTCTTAGTGACCCGGACACTCTGTCTCGCTCACTGTCCCTCGCTGGGTTATTTTACCCATTTTTATAACAATAATATAAGGTAGGATCAACAGTGGTGAGAAGACTAAAAATCATCACTTCTTCTTTGCTATCCTAGCAAAAACACTGAAAAGCATTAGCATTTAGCATAAACGAGACTTAAGCTAAGAGCTCGTATAACCCTGTCCATAAAAAAAAAATTAAGCTAACATAGCTGTTAACCAATGTATTTCACTGACTGTAGCTTTTCTAATACAAAATGCTGGGCATCATTTCACTGACTTTTCACTAGCTTTTCTAATACAAAATGCTGGGCAAACACTACTGTAAGTAGCAAATAGTTTGCTGAAATCACAGCAGTTTTCATACGCTACCATGTCATCGCTTCTCCATCGGTGCTGTGCTGGGTTCACTTTGTTTTTACTCCAAAGTGGCTCATGCGTGCAGACTCGTCAGCTGTCCCGCAGTTTCACAGACTGACATTTGCTTCATGTGCATATTTGGCTGCTCTCACACTGGAAATGTGCTCAACACTCTGCCAGTGCTCACTCCAACACTGTGAAGGCATGTACACAGTGTGAGATAATGACGTGCTGACCGCAGAGGATATGATGAAGTGCTGTCACTTGTACTGTAATGAGGTGTT